GAACCGTGTCGGTGTAGCAGGACATCGAAATGAGATGATGAATGGAGGAAATGAGCATCAATCACCCACAGTTAAGTGACCCTTCTAGTTATAGCAGACTGATACTGGCCAGTTAGGTATGTTGTAATTGGATAGGTTGTGGGTGATCCAGCTACATCAAGTGACCACCAGAGAATATCTGGTAAGTAGTGGTATTATATACAAGTGTTTTTTCCTTGATGGATATATACATGTGCAACCTACCCCCCCCCCTTCATTCAGTTAAACTAATATAATCTATACAGTCCACAATTAATTAGTAGTGCCGTACTTGTGGGTGCTGTCCAATTCATACTTGTCTTGGATAGATATGGATAAGATTGTGAGGTCGAAGGAACCACCTGCAGGGACCAGGGGTGGTTAAGTTTTCTCACATGTCTACACGGGGTGACTACAGTAAACAATATGGTTGTTGTCTCCCAATGAGATTACTTGTATGCATGTAACGTTGAGGTACATACAGGTAACCCCCAGTGGTGACATGTACTTAGCTCTGTGAAGACCTGTTTGTGTGCTCTCTGTGAATCTGAACCAGGATGCCCTCTCTTGAGCAACTTTACCAGCAGCTGAGAGAAGAGCTCAGAGTTGCTAAGATGGAGACACGGCGATTAACAGAGGAGAACAAGAGGATTCGTAGTAATCCTTCTGTTGTGAGTCCCCAGGTTAAGAGGGGAGCTTGGTCAGTGGCCGGGCAACATGGAACCAAGCTGAAGATCAAGAAAACGGTTGGAGAGGCAGAACAACGAGAAAACCAGAAGACTACCGGGGAAAAACTTCCAACCCATTCTCGGTGCTACCTGACGAATGTGAGTGTTCTACTGGGAATGCCACAACGAGCCCCAAAAGAAGAAATTGGCAGACGTGAGTAAGACATCCCTAAAAACCCCCAACGAAGACCATCGAGAACATTTTGACGAATTCTACAAGTGGTGTAATGCTACCTGGCAAATGTGAATCGACTACTCAGCATCACGACGGACGACGCCAAGGAAGGTTAAAAACATTGTTGTTGTTGGGGATAGCCAGATTAGGTACATGGATAGGGCATTCTGCTTGAAGGACAGGAGTAGGGCAGTGTGTGTGGGGTTTTCCTGGGGCTGGGAGAAGGATATTGTTAGCCATCTGGATGACATCATAGAGGTAATGGGAGCAATCCTATTATCTGTCTCAGTGCTGGAGGCAACGATGTTGGCAGACGTAGGAGTGAGGACCTGATTAGCAGGTATAGGTCAGCAATAGAGATAATTAGGAAGAAGGGTGGGAAAACCTGCCCATATGCGGCATTTTGCCAAGGAGAGGAGTTGGAAATGAATGGTTGTCCAGAGCAATTGGTGTCAATTGCGGGCTGGACAAATACTGTAAGGAAAATGGGTAACATTCATTGACAACTGGACCTCTTCTAGGGCAGAAATGACATGTTTTGCCAGGGATGGGGTTATTTTATCTAGTTGTGGGGGGGGAGCACTGGCCAACGCATTTGGAGGGAGCTGTTAGGTCTTTAAAAATAGGATAGTTAGTGGTATGGGTTTTGGTGGGGGAAATCGCAGGGTAGTAATATGAGTATACTGGAGAACTAGTAATAGGCAAAATGAGGGGATATTGGAAAGCCATGGCACTAATTGGGCAAGGACAGTAATAGGTTTAGTGGAATAACAGAAAGGAGCAGGAAGGGTAAAGAGAAAGGAGGGTCTTTAAATATTTATTACACAAATAGTCGCAGTGCTAGGAATAAGATGGACGAGTTGAGACTAGTTGCTAGTGCAGGTAACATAGATATATTTGCCATTACTGAGACGTGGTTTAATTCAAAAAGTCGGGACATGCCTGCAGAATGTCACATTCAGGGTTTTAAATTGTTCCAAGTAGATAGAAGTATCGGGAAGGGGGGTGGCGTGGCATTGTATGTCCGAGATCGTTTGAACTGTTGCATAAAAACTGGTATTAAGTCTGAAGTAACACATACAGAGTCTCTTTGGATAAAATTTTCAGAGGGGCATGAAAAATTAATTTTAGGTGTGATATACCTTCCCCCAAATTTAGATAGGGACCAGGGGAGACTACTATCTTGCTGCTCAAAGAACGTTTATCCCTTACAAGGAAATTAAATCGAATAGAAATGACCCAAAATGGATGAATAATAGGCTGAAATATCTACTAGGGCATAAGAAAGGAATTTATAGGCGTATCAAAAGAGGCGAGGGTCATCTTATGAATCAGTATATTGACATTAAGAGGGACATTAAAAAGGGGATAAGAAAAGCTAAAAGAGACTATGAAATTAAAGTTGCTAGGGATTCTAAAACTAACCCAAAAAGTTTTTTCCAGGTATATAGAACAAAAGTCAGAGATAAGATAGGTCCCCTTAAAAATAACTATGGGCATCTTACTGACAAAGAAAATGAAATGTGCTCGATTTTAAATAATTATTTTCTCTTGGTTTTTACACAGGAAGACACTAATAATATTCCGTAATTATTTTTATAGTGGATCAGAAGAAGATAAATTATGTAACATCACAGTCACTAGTGAAATGGTTGTGAAGCAGATAGACCGACTGAAGCAAAATAAGTCACCGGGTCCTGATGAGGTTTTTCAAGGGTTCTAAAGGAATGCAAAATGGAAGTCTGTGAACCATTAACTAATATTTTTAATTTATCTCTTCAAACAGGTGTAGTGTCTGATACGTGGAAGATGGCTAATGTAATTCCTATTTTTAAAACAGGGGACAAGTCGTTACCGTCAAATTACCGCCCAATAAGCCTGACCTCAATTGTAGGCAAATTACTAGTCAATTATAGCTCAGATTATAAGAAGCCATCTCGATAAGCATAGCTTGATTAATGATACTCAGCATGGATTCACAAGAGGCCGGTCTTGTCTAACTAATTTATTAACTTTCTTCAGTAAAGCTTTTGAGGCTGTTGACCACGATAAAGAATTTGATATTATTTACTTAGATTTTAGTAAGGCATTTGATAGAGTTCTGCACCAAAGACTGTTGAAGAAAGTAGCAGCTCATGGCATTGGGGGAAGGGTGCTCTCGTGGATCGAATCATGGCTCACAGACAGGAAGCAAAGAGTGTCCATAAATGGGGTTAAATCCGAGTGGGGATCAGTAACAAGTGGCGTTCCACAGGGATCAGTCTTGGGCCCATTGTTGTTTAATATATATCAATGATCTTGATGAAGGAATTACTAGTGATATGAGCAAATTCGCCGATGACACGAAGATAGGTAGGATAATTGATTCAAACGTAGATGTTAGGGAACTTCAGGAGGATTTAGACAAACTCTACTCTTGGTCAGAAAAGTGGCAGATGCAGTTCAGTGTAGATAAATGCAAGGTTCTGAAGCTCGGGAGTGTTCATAACCTAGTACTTATAAGTTAAATAATGTAGAACTTAGCCATACAGATTGCAAAAAAGGACTTGGGGGTTATGGTAAGCAGCAACCTTAAACCAAGACAGCAATGCCTAAGCGTACGTAATAAGGCAAATAGATTACTGGGATTTATATCAAGTAAGTGTAAGCAACAGAAGTCCAGAGGTCATACTGCAGCTTTATACATCATTAGTAAGGGCCCCACCCAGATTATGCAGCTCAATTCTGGTCTCCGTATTACAGAATGACATAAATTCGTTAGAAAACATTCAGCATAGGATGACTAAATTAATACATAGCATTAGAAATCTTCCTTATGAAGAAAGATTGAAGACTCTTAAGTTACATTCACTTGTTAGACGAAGAATGAGGGGAGACCTGATCGAAGTGTATAAGTGGAAGATAGGTATTAATAAAGGGATATTAACAAGGTCTTGAGGATATCTCTCCAAGAGAGAACCCGCAGTAATGGATTTAAGTTGGATAAGTTTAGATTTAGAAAGGACATAGGAAAGTATTGGTTTGGAAATAGGAAGTTGATGAGTGGAACAGTCTACCTAGTTGGGTTATTGAGGCTGGGACTTTGGGTAGTTTCAAATTTAGGTTGGATAAGTACATGAGTGGGAGGGGTTGGATTTGAGTGGGACTTGCACATCAGAGCTTATTTCTTGGGTAGCATTGAAAATTGGGTTGGTCAAATGCTTGTTAGTGGGATGAATTGTAAAGGACCTGCCTAGTATGGGCCAACAGGCCTGCTGCAGTGTTCCTCCTTTCTTATGTTCTTATGTTCTAAAACGGAATCACAACCCCTGCCGATAGCATGTGGAGTACCCCAAGGTAGTATTCTGGGTCCCTTATTATTCCTATGCTATGTTAATGACATGCCTATCAGTGTCAAGTGCAAACTCCTACTGTATGCAGATGACAGTGCTCCGTTAGTGTCAGGTAAAGACCCACAGGATATAGCTAATGTATTAACACTGGAACTGGAGTCCTGCAGCAAATGGTTAGTAAACAACAAACCATCGTTACACCTCGGGAAAACTGAAGCCATTCTCTTTGGCACGGAGTTCCTGTGAAAATTTGTCTGGACTGCCTCCAAGTGAGTCGCCTACCCTGGCAAGCTCTGTTGACACCGAGCTCTGAAGTCGGTACCTCAGCCTCACAAGTGGCTTATAGGACAGATTTTCATAAATGATTGATGTTGCAAGAAATCTCGCCTGCATGCACGTTTAAAGGACTGACTAACTTGGTGTTGCAGCATATATCCTGATCTTCAACCTCCCTAAGCTTAGCCCCTTTGGACTTCCCCTCAGAAACCACGTGCAACCGGGAGCCTTAATTCCTGCAATATTCAATCGTTATTAGTGACATGCCTGCACCTCAGAAATTCCTATATCCAAGAGGGTGTGTATCCCCTAGTATAACTATGCAGACACGGACACTCGCTTCTAGACTGACAAGAGATGCTGGTATGTACTGGGCATGCACTGCCAGCTGCACAAAGGCCCACAGTTCAACTCACAGCTTTCCCCAGAAACTGGCCAGAATCCTATGATAGAGTGGAGGTCTTGTCTTACTGTATGGGCCTGACGGAGGAGGTCATCTACGGTACATCGAGGTGCCTCTACCAGATTTCCCCAGATCTCATATGTGAAGACACGTGGGGGGCGCCGTCTGCTGATCATGGCACGTCTTGTCCAGGTGATGTCTGGTCTAAGAAGAGAGAGATAGCGTCTTTGAGACCCGCACCTCATCGTTCAAACTTGGGATGCCAGTTCTCCCTAGCTAACTAAACCTAGTGTTTACCTACATTATTGGCCTATTACTACCTATGTTAAGGTCTTAGGTCTACATTATTATTATCTACAGTTGCCTTAATAATCCTAACATTAGTGTACTAGCAGTAAAACTACCTTCTTCTTCCCTGAAGGGTAAATCTATAAATCAAGAAGTACCTACCATCCACCCACGCCAACTCGGGAGAGAATGTTTGTGTTGGGTGAAAGGGCCCTCGAACAGTGTGTTTTTCCCCGTTGGGACTTCTTGGGCCGAATAAGTTCCAAAAGTCCCCTTTGATCCATGCATGTCAGGAGAATTGATAAGGTATAGTGTAGTAAAGTAAGTGAATGCCAGACTGAAATTCCTCTATAGACAAGCACAGTGTCTACCTACTGAAGCTTGCAGGACTCTGTCTAGCCCTTATACAATGTCATATGGATTAACTCTTGCTCATCATGGTACTCTGCCTTGACAAAAAAAAAAACTGAAAGACTGCAAATCATCCAGAACAAAATGGTAAGATTCATCCTGGACCTGGGTCCAAGAGAGTAGGCCAGGATGAATTACAGCAATTGGATATGCTGAATGTTGAAGACAGAGTAAAACACCTGAAGCTAAATCATGTTTATAAAATTGCTCACAAACAGTGTCCAGAATATCTTGCTGCCAATTTTGTCAAGGTTGAGAATCAAAGCAATCATAGTACTAGGAGGAGAGAGCACAACTTTGTAGTACACACAGTCAGTGGCCAGGCTTCAAACACCTTTTATTGTACAGCAATAAAGGAATGGAACAGACTGCCCACACTTGTCAAAGCCAGTCATAGCATGAACCAGTTTAAGAAGAGTGCCAAAAGATGTCTGATGAATGTAGCTACAGAAAGGGAAGGGAATGTTTTTTTTTTTTTTTTTTTTAGCTAACACGCTTGTAATTTTATGTGTAATTTTACCTTATTCCCAGTAATGACCCTCGTACTGTAGATAGTCTTAATGACCCTCGTGTAGTAGATAGTCTTAATAGTATGATAATAAGATGTTATCTCCTTTATAGAATCATAATAAGATATTATCACCTTTATATTATAATAATAAGGTAAAAGGACCCCAATGGAAATAAGTCACTCTGTCTGACTTTTTTGGGTTGTCGCAGGTACTTTACACACATGCTGCTATGTATGATGATCTATGTAACTGTATTTGTGTATACCTGAATAAACTTACTTATTTACTTAGTTCTGGTCACCATATTACAGAATGGATATAAATGCAGTGGAAAACGTACAAAGGAGGATTACAAAGTTAACTCCATGTATCAGAAATCTTCCCTATGAGGATAGACTGAATTTGCACTGTCTAGAAATGCATAGAATTAGGGGGGATATGACTGGATATGACAGGATTAAATAAAAGGGATGTAAATAGCTTGCTAAAAATATCTAGCCTAGACAGGACTCGCAGCAATGGCTTTAAGCTGGAAAAATTAAGAATCAGGAAGGATATGCGAAAGCACTGGTTTGGTAATAGAGTTGCGGATGATTGGAACAAACTCCCGAGTACCGTTATAGAAGCTAAGACGTTGTGTAGTTTTAAATATAGGTTAGATAAATACATGAGTGGGTGTGGGTAAGTGTGAGTTGGACCTGACTAGCTTGTGCTACTAGGTCAGATGCCGTGCTCCTTCCTTAAGTGAAAGTGACCTGACCTGACTATGTTAGGGTATTTACTTAAGTCAGTAGGAGAAGTGGACTTTCCTCGCATGGCCAGTAAGCCTGCTGCAGTGTCCTTCCTTCTTATGTTCTTAAATCCCAACAGGGAGGCATAGAATTAACTAAGCTTCTCTACCTCTTTATAAAACTTGTCCAGATTGAACCAGTGGATAGCAACAGAAGACGTGACCAGCTCAGCAGACTCATCTTCAACAGGAAGGCGCTCAGCTATTCCCTCTCTGTAGAATAAAAGGAATCTATATATATTTATACTGCCATAAAAAAAATCGTGGTTGGAATCTGAGACCTTATAGAAATTAAAAATTAAATTAAAATTCTTTATTTCTCTGTTAATATTACAATGTGGGGTTTACATATTATAACATATTATAAAATACTTATTATAAAGAAGGCCGCTAGTATGCTTAGGTATGCCTAGGTATTTCGGGCAGACTAATACTAGTTCTTACTTTATATTGGCACATGATATGGATCATACTGGTATTAAGGTTAACTAGATATACAAAACTGAGGTAGTTCAAAATATTTAAGAACTTAACAATTAGTTTATCTATTAATGAAAATGGTCTCGATTTGGTATGATATAGTTTCTATATTGAAGTGTCTTAGGCAAACTTATGACTAGCTTAAGAATTATGAAGCAACAGCTGTATTCAGAATTTTATGTTTACAGTCGTGTGTAAATTAGGGGGAGTCACAGTTATCAATAAGTGTATTTTGTTTTGGATATGTGCAAGATGAGGTCGTTTTCATGTGTTAAGTTACCTGTGGGGTGTGTAAGGGAGATAAGATGTTTTTTTTAACGGTGCTTTTGAAAATGGTGGTTGTGTCTGCAGTTCTTGAGTTTTCAGGCAGGAAGTTCCAGATTTTAGGCCCTTTTATGTACATTGAATTTTTGTATAGATTTAGCCGGACACGGGGAATGTCAGAGATGTTTGTCTTGTATTATGTCTATGAGTCCTGTCACTACTATCAAGGAAGTGTTTTAGTTCAGGGTTAATATTGGAATTTATGGTTCTGCAGATGTAGATTACAGAGTAGTAAGTGTGGATGTTCTGAAGAGTGAGTAAGTTTAAGTCTTCGAAGAGTGGGGGGGAAGGAGGTGTGTTGCCTAGCATTGGATTGCGTGATAATTCTTATTGTGCCTTTCTGTTGGGTTATTATTGGCTTTACTTGGGTAATTGCTGCTGAGTAGGGCTGATTGTGGTACGTAGTAACGTATCTTAGAGAGGATCCCAACAGTTTTGAATACTTTTTTTGTTATGTGCTGGATATGGGTGCTGAATTTCAGGTTGCTGTCGAGGTGTAGGCCCAGGAATTTGCCCGCGTTATGTTTAGCAATAAGAGTGTTGTTGATCTTAATGTTAAGTTGTGCATCACCTGCTCTGTTACCAAACATAATATAGAAGGTTTTATCAGTGTTGAGTGTAAGTTTATTAGCTGTCATCCATGTAGATATTTTTAGTTGTTCCTCGTTAACAATGGTGTTGAGCATGGCAAGATTTGGGTGGGAGATGAAACAAGCCGTGTCGTCAGCAAAGAGAATTGGCCTCAGGTATTGTGATACATTAGGAAGATCATTGATGTATGAGAGGAAGAGCAGGGGACCAAGTACACTTCCCTGTGACACTCCAGTATCAAGTGGTCCTGTTGAGGTTGTATCTTTAATGGTGACATACTAATACCTATTAGTAAGGTAGGATTTGAAATATGCAAGTGCATGGGCTCTTAAACCATAATGGTCAAGTTTGTGGAGTAGGATGCCATGGTTTACTGTGTCGAAAGCTTTCCTTAGGTCAATAAAAAGTCCTAATGGATATTCCTTATTTTCCAGTTCTGTGTAAAGCAGGTCTATCATTTTTACAATTGCATTGTTAGTGCTTTTATTTTTTCTGAAGCCAAACTGGCAGGGATTGAGTATGCTTTGTGTTGTTATAAACGAGTATCATCTCTTGTGCACGAGTTTCTCGAAGATTTTGGATAGCAATGGTAACTTTGACATTGGTCTATAGTTGTTTACATCTGTGGGGGTCACCATCTTTGTATATTGGTGTAACCCTTGCTGTTTTGAGTAGTGTCGGGAAAGTGCTAGTTTCTTGTGATTTGTTAAAAAGTAATGAAATAGCATGCGAAAAGACATGGGCCGCTCGCCTGTATAATACTGGTGGGACTTGACAGATTCCCTGATTTATTTTTAGGTGACTTGATTATCATGGTGACTTCAATGGGCTCAGTAGGTGTAAGATAGAAGGAGGTTGGGAAATTCCCATCTAAGTAATCACTTACTCGGGCGTTCGTTTTACTGGCGAGATTTGATCCTATGGTTGAGAAGAAGTTTAAATTTATCTTGTTTCCTGTATCAACAGGCTGTAATGGTGTTTCGATTGGTGTAGTTAGAACAGTATCCCTAGTTTTTTTCAGTTTGTGGGTGCCCAGAATCTGTGATTGTTTTCCAGGTCTTTTTTATATCTCTTGTTTCAGTGAATCTGCTGGAGTAGTACAATTGTTTTTTTAATAGTTTTGCGAGAACTGATAAAGTGTTTAATAATATCTTTGTGAATTAAACCCCGTCTATATTGCTTTTCATATTGACGTTTCTTGTTAATGGATTTCAGTATACTGCTAGTTAGCCAAAGACAACCTATCCATTTGCTCATAATCTGTTTGGTTTTTATAGGACAATGTTTGTTATATAGTCGAAGTAATTTATTAAGAAATATGTCTGTCCACTCATCGATTTCATTGGCATTGCAGAATTCTGTAGCCCAGTTAACCGTCTCTAGCTCTGCTGTGAAGTTACTTATTGAGGCCTCGTCATGGAGTCTAAATTAAACTTTGTTGTATTCCAGTGGTGGTTTACCAATGTTTGTTAAGAGGAATATGGAAAATTTTATAGGGGGTTACCTGTATGTACCTCAACATTACATGCATAAAAGTAATCTCATTTCAATTCAATTCAAATTCAATTCAATTAAAAGTTTATTCTCTATAAGGATTACAATGCTGAGTTTACAGAATTTGGTTATTGTGTGGTTTACATGTAGTAAAATAATGATTACAGAGTGTACCACTAGAACACCTAGCATGGCTAGGCATTTCGGGCAGACTTAGTTTAATTCTTTATTTTAAAATATTACAAATTATGAGGTAAGTTGGTATTATGGCTAAGTGACTAAATACTAGTTTGTGAGTTTAGCAATGTGAATGCTTTTGCTTTGGCACAGTACATAGTTTCAGTATTGGAGTATCACAGGATTCATTATTTTAAGATTGAGATTAATATTTCTGTTTATGGTCAAATGGGTGAGTGAGTGTAAGTGTGAACCACCAGGTGGTATTCGTGTAGTTAGTTGATGGGGTGTATCAGGGAGATAAGATGTTTTCTAATGGTAGTTTTGAAGGTGATGAATGTGTCTGCAGTTCTAGAGTTCTCAGGTAGGGTGTTCCAGATTTTAGGGCCTTTGACATACATTGATTTTTTGTAAAGGTTTAGTTGGACACGGGGAATGTCGTAGAGATGTTTGTGTCTGGTGTTATGCCTGTGGGTTCTGTCAACTATCAAGAAAGCGTTTTAGGTCATGGTTGATATTGGAGTTTAAGGTCTTGTAGATGTAGATTGCACAGTAGTAAGTGTGGATGTACTGAACAGGGAGTAAGTTTAGATCTATGAAGAGTGGGGGGGGGGGGTGTTGCCAGGGATGGGATTTAGTGATTATTCTTACTGCAGCTTTTTGTTGGGTTATTATTGGCTTTAGGTGTGTTGCTGCAGTTGATCCCCAAGCACAAATAGCATAGATGAGGTGTGAAGCCTTATTTAGCCCTGTAACAACTTCAGTAAGTATTACTAAGGCTGGCTCCTCCTCAGAAAAATTAATGAATAGAAAAAGAAATAATAACAGACAAACATAAACACTTTATTATATAGAAATTTAAAATATAAAACACTTAAATATGAAATATTAATCCTTCATTAAAGAAAATGAAAAACGAAAACTGTAAATGATAACTGAATTCAATGCTTATATATAGGGGTGTCTGGTGTTGGTGACACTGTGTTGTTGAAATCGTAGCCGTTGCTGATGATGGGGGGGGGGATTCGCAGGTGTTGGTTACGACCCACTGGCTAGTTCTTCACAGTATAGCCTTGAGTATTCTATCCCGATGACAGGAAAGCAGGTTCTTTACCGCTGCAATGATGAGGGGTTACGTCCTGCAATTTCATGCAGGTGCACGGGTAATTAAATCCAAAAAGGGGAAGTCTCAGGACGTTAGTCCATCTCCATCAGTTTTCCTCGTTGATTGGCAGGTGACCCCCTCTGTCATCCAAGAGTAGTACTGGGAGCTGTGAGTCTAGTAATTACCGGTTTGGACCGACCCCCACACGTCCCCTTTCGGGGGGGGGGGGGAAAGGAGGGGAAGGGATAGCGGGAGCTAGACTGACCCTACCTTAACAAGCAGCCGGCAGTCAAACTATCACTTTAGGGGTGGGGAAAAAAAGGCGGGAATAGCGGGAGCTTGACTTACCCTACCTTAACAAGTAGCCGGCAATGAAACTATTGTTACTTATACTCCCTCGTACCCCTTTATCTATTGAACTTTTCCTCCCCTCCCCCATAGCAAGACTTATAGTCCAGGAGAAATAAGAAGAATAGGCGAGGAAAAGTTCAACATACGGAAGTCGCGTAAGGCAAGAAATCTTCTACTGACTGTCACGACTTAAATAGTCAGAGAAATAATTGGATGACCCATTGATATACACATATGGAACTTAAAAGCCTGGAGTCCCAAAATTTTCCACCTCAAGAGGCGACTGTTGGTTCCCTTAAAAGTTTCTAGGTATATCAAAGGTTTGTGGTCCGTTTCTAAAATGAATTCTTTTCCCAGCAAATAAAATTTAAGTTTGGAGATACCCCACACAAGGGCCAAACATTCCTTTTCTATGGTGGAGTATCTCATTTCTGCAGGAAGGAGTTTCCAGCTTAGGAAGCATACAGGGAAGGGAGTACCATCATGGTATTGTAGTAGCACTGCACCTAAGCCAGAATTGGAGGCATCAGTTCTTAAACAAAATGTTTTATTAATATCTGGAATCTTAAGTATAGGGTCTTTCGAAAAGATACTTTTAATCTCATTAAACTTTTCCCAAGCTACGTTGGAAAGTTCAAGAGGTTCCTTCACAGACTTTTTAAGGAAGTCAGATAAGATGCCTGTAAGATCGGTAAGGT